ACTGGCAGCGAGTCGTTAGCAAGCCTCCTTCCTGCTCCGCTCCAAGTCCAAATAGCACACCAGCGCAAACTTGTCGAAGTTTCGAATGCGCCGCGGCCCACCCCGAATACGTAATGAGTACGTGGCCCCCTTGGCTTTCCACCATTATGCGAGCCGGACCATTATGACTAATCGCCTGGAATGCTTTGCTATCGGGGCCAGGCAAACAGTCTCTCTCTCTCTCTCTCTCTTTCTGTCGTTTCGAGAGAGCGGATCGGCCGAGTGAGACCCGGAAGAATGAAAATCCGCCGATCGTTAACTTCGATTCATCGGTCCGTTGATTCCCCTCTGTTGCCGTGCCAATTACGGGGAGAATATCGCAGAATATTAGTAGTTACGAATGTCGTTGAACCGTCGGCGTTCGCGAAGTTGGTTTCATCCGAGACGAATCGAACGACGACGACGTATCTCGATGTATCGGGAGTTCACGTAGCGCGCCAATTAGGGGATATCTTCTGGTGAATGGAAGAACATCGTAGCTACGAGTGTCGTTGAACCGTCGGCGTTCTTACGGTTCGTTACGCCCTCTCGATTTCAGTCGCGAGGGATCGAACGATGAATGTTTTTAGCTAACAATATAAGGTCGTTCGAGTCTGCGGAATACTTGGATTAACTCGTTGTTTTGCAAAACGCGTCCAGCTGATGTTAAGTTAAATTGGGAATGATCTCCGAGTAACCTGCGTTTGAAAGTAGTCTGGAGGTGAGGCTGCTGGTATCTCTCTCGGAATCCCTCGCGGCTCTCGAGAACGAACTTCTTCCCTTCGAGTCTCGAAACGTCGAGAAACGACCGATAATCGATTAACACGTCGAACTACCGACAGGTCTAAAGCCTGAAATTTCCATCGGAGACTTGTTAAAGCAAAAAAGAAGAAAAAAAAAAACTTTGAACTTTATAACAGAGTACACAAACTGTTATTTATATATCTCCCGAGAAAAAATGATAAATTGGTCATTTTGACCATTTTGGTAGTTCCAACGTTACGATATCGTTGCCCTCGCCGTGTGTACAAAAGGAGCTGCCCTAAATCAGTATTTTCCCAGCCGGTATCGGTTTTTCTTAACCAGAATCTCGTCTGCTCGCGACGTGGCGTCCCTAAGGAGCGGGCTCACTTGACACGACACCGCGTCATCTAATCTGTGACCTAATCTCGAACGTAAGTACAGTTCAGCTGGTCCAGCGGGAGGACCAGCGCGAGGCAAAGAGGGAGAATGATGTGTGCGACCTCGCTTGTTACGTGTATGTACATACGTGTTGCCACACGAAATTTGGAGCGACAGAGACAGACGCTGGCGCTGAGAGGGACACTGATAAATATATATGTATACATACAGGGTGGTCCACATTCGAACGATTTGTGTGCAACGATGCAAAAAATATTTTTCACCTACGAATGGTGTCGGAAGGCCAATGTAATTGGTAAGAATATTTTCAAGGTCACTCTCTTCAAGCAGCTTTTTCTTTTTATTATTATATCGTGTAACTGGTAAAACAAGTAGCAATAAAATTTTAAGTTTCACGTGCATATTGAAATCACAGACGCGACAATATTTATTATGTCGTCAATGATAGTCTTCAGCTGTTTGAAGTCCCGATCAGTGCATCGAAATTCGAAAATCGACAACTCAGAGTGGAGTAGTCGACGCAAAACGAAAGATCGATCTGATGTTCATTTATGGTGAAAGGTAATTATCCGTCACGAAATACATGCCCAATGGTTAAAAATTTCTCGTCAAACTGCTAGTATTGCGAAGAAACGTCGCGAGAACTGAATAACGAGACAAGTGAAGGAATTAAGTAGATAAGCTTGACGAAAAATGTGTGTGTATGTCTAAGATAATTTGAGCGTGGTAGTTTTAAAACTAGCATAATACGGAAAAATTTCACCCTGTATCATTTATCTGTACATGGAGACCTTCACGCGAGATCTTCATGCGTCTTTCTCGATGAGGTTTGCAGCGATATGAAAGTGAGCAATCTTTCTTTGAAAGAAATATTCAAATGTTTTCAGACATTTTAAATCAGTGTCATTTCAAGATTCTTTACATGTCTAATTTTCCAACAAATACACGAAGCAATAAAAAATATTTATAGTATTGTATAATATTTTTAAAATAAAAAAAATACACAGTAATGAAATATGCATAGTGTTTTATTATTCAGAAAACTCGGGAAAAAGTGAAAATTCTTGAGAAAAAAAAAATTCTTACCAGTTACGGTAAAATTCTTGTTGATCTCGGAAAATATTTTTTACGTCGTCACGCACAATTCGAAACAAGATTTTAGTGGCTTCATCACTTAAATGGACCATCCTGAGAGAGGGAGAGAGAGAGAGAGAGAGAGAGAGAGAGAGAGAGAGAGGAAAATGTACGTTTGGGCATAGCACCATATTAGTGCACCAATTGCCCACAGCAGGTCTGGGCTAAGTGAATGGCTGTGCCGAGGGCTTTGCTGATTATGGTGTCGTCATTGATCCAGATCGAAATTGGCTTGCTTCTGTCATGGAACGCGCCCAGAGGACCATTAATATCTCTCCTGGGGGAGGAAAAGGGGAGAGCGTGGGCGGAAGGAGAGGAATAGCCACGGGGGAAGGGGGACGATGGTCACAAATTTCGCGGTATAGGAAGAGTTCGCGCGACCCTGTCACTATGAATCGATTCGGTAATTGGACTATTAATTCTCCATCTCCATCGCCACTTTCTCTCCGACTCTCGGTTTTTACGAGGTCTCTTTCCCCTCCTACCGGATATATACGCGGTTCCGGCATTGATTCAACGAGTTTGTCCATTGATTTTCGATTCGTCTTTTTGACTCGAGTAAAAAATTCGTCCCACGAATTTCTCTCGGAGTAGGCGCTTGGTCGACACGCTTGGCCATGGAAGGAAGAGCGGAACGAAATTCCAAGAGTTTCAAGAATTTGGTTTTATTATTTTTATATAAAAAAAAAAAAATTCTCACGGTCGAGAGTCGAGGAGCTCTTCTCAGACGAGTGGGGGAGAAACCTATACGGAATCCTCCGTATCAAAGGAATCGTATCGTCCAGCGTGGTATTTAATAACAGCAAATTGAATTGGCAACATCTTCGCTGTTCGAGTGACGCCGACTCTCGAGCGAAACTTCTATAGAATCACACGCAAATGGAACGAGCTCCATGGTCGTAGGAGGAAGCAACGGGGAAGAAGAATGAAAAGAAGGAGGGAGGAAAGAAAGAAAAAAAAAGAGGAGGAGTGATTACAATGGTGGAATCCATCGGAGTGTCTGCATTCAATTCGCGGGATTGAATTGGTTTTCTGAGGGAGTTTGTTCGAGATATACTGGTTCGATAATGTACGTTAACGGACTTCATAATTAGGGGAGAAGTCAATTATATCCTTTTGTCGGGGGGAGAGAGAGAGAGAGAGAGACGTGTTCGCAATTCTTGCAATTTTTCATCTTGTATGCACCGCCGATGTCGTGGCATTTTTTTTTTTTTTTTTCGAGAATTATCAATTGAATCGTCGGCCCAGTTGCGAATCATTGCCACTTGAAATTACGACTTATCGGTCAATATTTATCTTTCGTCCAGCCCCATTGCTAATTCGATCGTTCGCACCGTGCAAAATACGTAGCAATGCGTCGTTGCTTGTTTGGATTTTCGAGCGTTTCGTTTCGAGCAATGATACGGCGTGTCGCGAGGCATATCGGCCTCAGGAAGCATTCAAATCCAGATCATGCCCTCTTGTACGGATGTTTATGTCGTTAAATCTGTCGAGCGCAACGAGCGTTCCGTGTCGCGTATATTTTATAGAATTTCCCCTGTAGGAACGTTCGGTGGAGAACGCGAACAGATGATTACAGAGCAGAAGAGATAGAAGAGAAAGAAGAGGAGCGGAACGACAAGCGAAATTATTTATCGAGCAACGCGAATCCGACAAACAGCCTGTCCGACAACGGTCGAGAAAGGAACAGTTCGCTCGCTGCTCCCTTCAATACAACACACAAAAGCAACAATTTCCTTTCTCCTTAACTCGCAGCTGCTATCAGGATTTTCAGATCAAAGGATTAATTACAGGCCTGTCGCGAGGCCCCGGCTCTCCGCGCGATAGATTCGTCCCGCGATCTCGAATCGGCCGCGTGTCACTTCCGATTCCCAGAGAACAAAGGTCACAACCGATACCGCGATGCGCTGTCGAAGGTAGAAGGCTCTTTCTCCTCCCTCGAGTCGGGAAGGGGACGTTTTTCGCGAGCGGGGACAACGCGCGCGAATGGCCAACTGGGAAAAATGGCCTGAAAGGCTGAAAAGGGGCAGCCATTTCCGCGACAGGCATTTTCAGGATCGTCGAAAGATCGTCGTAACAGGCTCCTGTACTCTCGTCTGTCGATTAATTGAAGATATCGGAGCGGGGATACCTGCTAGCTATCTCTCGAGTCGGATTAAAAGCTGTCTCGTTAGGCGAGATCAAAGGACTCCATTTTCTAGCGGTCGGGCAAAAATACTCGGTTCCGGTTGCGCCGGTGTGTCGATCAGTGTTCCCGTTGGATTCGCGCACGGCAAGAGACATGGGTGGATGCTACCCTCGTTGGACGATCGTTGCTCTCCTCTTGTTCTCTAATCCCCTTCCCCCTCTGTTTCTCCTCTTCGTCGCTGCTTCACTACCCCATCTCTCTCTACTAGTAGATCTGTCGATTGCCAATATCTCGACGAAGATGGCAAGAATCGACGTTCGGCTGCGAACAGGATCTCCCGGTCAGATAAGAGTTAGCGCTCGCTTGTTCGACCGATCGTTTCAACGATCGTAATTCATCAAGATATCGCGAGACGTGGATCCAAAGGATCTGAACTTGTTACTATTTATTTCGGGAACAAATTTTACGAGCATAGGCGAGTATACAGAAATTATGGAAAATTTCACAAAATGATTGACGAACGTACCGACAAAATTGGTTTGGTAAAATGGTTCGTTGCTGTATTTTTTTCATCCATTCAATTCTTGTTAAAAGAAATGAAAATGTACAAATTTGCTATCAATATTGTTTCCTATATTAAATTAACGGCTATTCTGTATTCTTTTCACAATCGGTAAAAAGCAGAGATATACGATAGATTTACTCTTAACATCATTGAACCATTGAGAAATCACGACTATCGAAATCTCTACTACGGAGAACGTAGAAATAAAATAGAAAATTATTCGAGTAATCTACGACCGAATGATAGTATTTGAGGGTCGATACTTGGCGATACGAAAGTACCAGCATCTTCGAAACGTCCGTTTCCAATTTGTTGACCATTCCAATATTTCATTAAACGTAATTACAAACGGGCCAAATTAGTTTGCATTTATTACCGAACTATCGATACAAATGGGCGCCAACAAACCCAGCGTCAACAACCCGCGTTGTTAATTAAACGCGTTATTTCTCGTGCAATTAAACACAAACAATGTAATTATCAATTACTCGCTTTACTCTTTGCAATAATACACCCACCCGTTCAACAAATCAGCGATGTGTGGCGAAACGATAAAAAAAAAAAAAAGAAAAAAAAAAGAAAAGAAGAAAGAAAGAAAGAAAGAATAATTGACGAGCATCCTGTCCTGTCCTGTTTCTTACGCGATTCAATCGCAAACAATTTTTCATCAAATTATTTGGAAATTCAATAATCGGGGAACGATGATGCTCGGAGCATCAATTAAACCGTGCTACGGAACGTAACGCGTGTTTACAACGCGTGTTGTAACTCTGGCATTTAATTAAACACTGGAGCGTTATCTGGAATTTTTCGATCGACACTCTGTTGCAATTATGCATTCGATTCGCACCCAGAATATCGGCTGTAAGCAACCCCCTCCCCTCCTCCCCCTTCGGTTTCCGACCAGATTCGGCTTCCCCGCCGGTTCGACAGGTTCCCTTTGAATTTAATTGAGCGCTTTCGGATTACTCCCGGCGGGTCTGGACATAAACTTGCTTGGGATTTACCGATACGTTCCTTCCGAAGCCGACCAAATAGTTTCAATCGAAAGTTAGCGGGTTTCGGTGCCATTAAACGGTAACCAATCCCGCCAATATTATTCCCGAAGCGAAACTCCAAGTGGCTGGGAATCGTGACGGAATTCCCAATTCCGTCGGCCGTGTTACGACAACATGTTGGCCAACGAATTTCACGCGATAATCTGTCTTTTGTCTTTTTTTTTTTTTTTTTTTTTTTTTTTTTTTTTTTT